TTCGGGACCAAAGAACCTATGCGCATCCGTTCTTCAGAAGAGTCTGTTGGCCGATGCACATTCATCCAAATGAACATGAGCAGCATTCGACCTGCACGCCCGCCGACCAGTCGAAAGCAGCCCATCGGTCGACCGGTTTTTCGGCCGAAAGTTCTTTGGAAGCTTATACTAGTAGCGTCCTTGCTCCTAGTAGTAAGGCCAGGAGCCCCTAGTAGCGTCCTTGCTCCTAGTAGCGATGCCAGGAGCCCCTAGTAGCTTCTTGCTACTAATGCCCTTGCTACCAGTAGCAAGTCGATTGGAAGGCTGCTGAGCCCGGTGGTGAGGGGGATCAAGTCGCCTTGGAAGAAGAGGCGCGACGTGGTGCGCCGCGCGGGAAAACCGCAAGGGAACAGCACGGCCCATCGGCCCACGGAATATCCCGTTGGGAAGGCAGCGCTTTTGGCAGCTGTAGCAGGTTTTTCTGCGGGTAGGGTGTTTTGGAAGCGGGTAGGGTGTTTTGGATGGCGCCCAAGCCCACTGATTTCAGAGATGTTCCATGGATTATCCTGGATTGCGGGAATCATCTCACTACTTGGATGGCAAGGTTTGTTGTATCATGCGGGCGGAATTCTCTGCCATCCAACAGCTCTGCTGGACCTTTTGGAGGCCAAGAAGATTCGTGAGGAGTGGCCGGCCGGGGTGGCCCAGTGACGGGGCGCCGTCCAGACAGGTGGGTGGGTTTTTCCATGTTTTTCCCATGTGGTCGATCGCAAAGGCCCAAGCACTTGCTCTGTAAAGAATCGCAATGGCAGTATATGATTGGAACAGGCAATTTGTTTCTGGATGTTTGATGCTGTTTGGGGTTTCAGGTGGAACTCCGCTTAGTTCGACTTCCCATCGTGCCACCTCGTCCCTTCAGGGTGCACCTGGACCCCTCCTGGACTTCCCTCCTCCTTTAGTACCGCCCACATCTAAGTTGGATTGTCCAAGACAATGCACACCAGCACCCTCCAACAGCTCCTCTGGTAGCTTTTCGAGACTTAGAATTAAACGATCAAAAGTGGCAGGGTGGTGACCAGTCGGAGGGTGCTGGCATCTGAGATTTTCTACGTTACATACTTTGCACAGACCCTTCCTGGTGTCCCAGTGGATTTTTCTTTCCCCGACACCCACCGCCCATCCTCGAGCTGCTCCATTCAAGGGCGACGAGTTCGACGATCACTTTGGCTATGGCGCGCCGCCGGGGGAGGTGCCACACCGGGCGCCAGTCGTCCGAGCGATCACCTGCCTCCATCCTTGTAGGCTTTTGGTTGGTCGTGATGCCACCTGTCCGGTGTCACCTGGCACCACCCGCCACATGTCCACTCCTTTGCCGCCTTCGCTGCACTGCCTGATGCCACCTCTCCTTGTGAGGCAGACTATTATGGCGAGCACGGCGACCATGGATGGGGCCACGACCAGTGGGGCCACGACCAGTGGGGCCACGACCAGTGGGGCCACGGTGAGTATGGCGGACACGGACCCACTGCACCGGGTGCATCTCGGAGCGACAGAGAGCGATCGGTGCGACAGCGAGCACTCGTGCACTCGCACGGGCGCTTGGCGCTTCCAAGCCACGGTGGCGTGAAAACGGAGGACCCTGGCAGTGTGTGGTTCTGGAAGACTCAGATTAGGTTCTTTCTTTTTCAACTTGTGTTCTAAAAGTTCTATGTCATGCCACGGTGTCACATCCAAACAGATCGAAGCATGGTAGTCTGTGAATGAGGTAGTCACCAAAGCATCGCACAATGTCAAGCCATCCACGTGCTTCTTTTTTCGCTTGAGGAAGCATGGCTGCTTACCGGATCCCTCCATAAACCAACTGAATCGAGTCGAGAGAAACTCTTCGCCCAAGCAGGGTAGGAGCACAAGCATGGCAGGCCCCTTCCCTCTGGATCCCTCCGTCCAGGCACATCCTCCCATGGCACAGATGTGCCCCGCAGGGGTGCTCAGAGAGTCCCTGTGGGTCCCAGCAGGATGGCGATGTGTGGTGTGTGATTGCTCAGTTTGCTACAAGACACGTATACTTCTAACGTCCATTCTGCCAAGCTCCCGGCTTGGAAAGAGCTTCCAGTGTGGAAACCGCGCGGTCCCTCGCGGTTTTAGATCGCCCGCGGCCGGTGGAGGTGGTCTCTCTTCCTCTGGAGATGCCGAGCCGACGGAGAAGACACCTCGAGTTTCTCTGAGCCGTCGGAGCTCCGTGCCCAGTTCGGCCGAAGGCCAGGCTCTTGGCCCGGAGAGTTGCCTTTTTGGGGTTCCGGTTCTGATGTCATGGAGAAAGCACCGAGTAGTCAAGGGAACTGGGCCATGGCCGCTGTACCCAAGTGAGAAGACCATTTTGCCTTACCAACTAGGTTACGGTTGCATAATTGCATAGGTCGCCTGGGTGTTTTATAGCGTTGTGCATCATTTTTGGCTCGTATTTGCAGTGTTTTTCTGGTTTATCCGCAGAAAGACTGGGGAGAGCGACACACACAAGATTTGGGTGTAGGGGTAAGTTGTTATCTACATTCGAAAGTTGGTTGCGTTGGTTGCGTTGGTGAGCGAGCAGATGAGCCTTGTCGTTTCTGCTCGCTTATCTGACACCAACGCAACCAACTTTCGAATATAGATAACAACTTACCCTACACCCAAATCTTGTGTGTGTCGCTCTCCCCAGTCTTTCTGCGGATAAACCAGAAAAACACTGCAAATACAAGCCAAAAATGATGCACAACGCTATAAAACACCCAGGCGACCTATGCATCCGCTTGCAGCTATATACCAACCCTCTACCAACCACCAGCTACAACTCACGGTTTTTGGGCTTCCTGTTTTGCAGTACAACTACTCATTGCTTGACTCCAAACTTGGAGATACCTTGCGGCGCGGAATCACTTGCGGCGACTCCTGGGCAACGCCAAGTGCGAACGTCAAAGGATGGGCGATGCCAAAGGATGCTCGCCCCTGCCAGCTTGCCAGCTGTGCTCCGCCGCGGCACAAAGGAATGGGTCCTGCGTCGACGTCCACGGAGCCCAGCAAATCCGGGTGAGGATTGTTTCGGGTTCCCGTCGTATTCATCGATCCAGGGGGAGGTGCGGAGGTGCTGGTGGTGGTTCCACGTTGGAAGTCGAAGGTGGTTTGGAAGTCGAAGGTCCTTGCTGAGGAGCGCGGGTTCGTATTGGTAAAAAGAGGTGGAGAAAGAGCGGCCCCAATTGGGCCGATTTGGGCCGCGTCATGGGGTTGGGGTACCACAACCCCCACAACCTCTGCGAATCCCAGAATGAGCTCGCATGCGAACAGGCTTTTTTTCAAAGAAGAGGTCACTGGGAAGGTGGTAGCATGAAACTCAGAGATTTCAAGTGGCCTTCCGCATCGGATTGGGATTCTCCTCCCCCGCAGGCGTCGTGGTTTTTGGGAGGGTCCGGCGTGGGCCCATCACATGCGTCGCGCGGTGGCCGTGTGTTTTCTTTGGCTCGTCTCCATTGCACAGGACCCGGGATGACAGCCATGCTCAGCTCTTTCTTATAGAAAAGCATTTGATTTGACCCCAGCTGGGGAGTCATCCACTACCAGTTCAGAGTAGTTCAATGAGTCGATGCCCACCAATCCGAAATCCTCCAACGCCTCGAACCAGGACACGGGCGATGCCGAACGCATCGACTTTTCCACGACCTTAGTCAACCGGGTCTCTTCAGATGAGGAGGTGGTGCAAGGAGAGCGAGACGCCGCCGACGGGGTCTGAAGGGGGGCTGGTTAGGAAAAGATCTGGAGCAGCCAGAAAGACACCAGATTGCGGCCTCAACCAAAATCGATCCCAATCTTTTTCGAATCTATATATGTGTTTGAGCCGACTCACTCACTTTTGCTGGCCAGCAAGGAGCTCCAGCGGTCAGAACCTGGCTCTTGAAAAATTTGCCCAGGTTTTGGAAGTGGGAATGAGATTGTATGGGATTGTAACATATTCTAACTCGCCAAGCCTACTGTACTTCTTGCAGACGTCAAGCACCCACAAGATCGCGGATGCCCCATCGATCGCGAAGACCAAGACCTGTCACAGACTTCTCCAGAGTCGATGGGCTTGAAGCTTGCGAGGACCTGATTTTAGGCTTTTGAGAATCAGGTCTTTCCAGCATCTTCCAGGATTCGATGCGCCCAGTGAATCATTCACAATATCTTGGCCTGTCAAACCAGGCCATTTGGCATGCAAAATCCATGGATCCCAGACCTCACATCCCACGGACTTTTGAGGAACCATCAGTCTCAATGGGACGATCACACCTGAGTCCGTCAGCCGCTGGGCGACATCGGCGCTCCAATGACGTCACCGGGGCGCGGTGAACGGTCAGCGAGCTCCGAATGTCCAAGGCCGGAGGTGCAGAGGTTCGCAGCCATGGCTCCTCTCGACATCATTGCATGCAAGAGGGTTATGACCTCCGTAATTCATGGGTCAATGAAGCGTCTTGCATTCGGTTCAGTGTGCTTACCCGGAATCTACCCCGGGTGGGTTCGGAACATGAACCGGGTCAACGAGTATATACGCAATCAGACATGCTAACTATTTTTTAAATTTACATATGATTTTATATGCACCAAGTCCCCCTAAACAGTCATTTTCAAGCAACTTCAAACACCATGACAGGGTTTTGACCATCGATCCTACATCTGGGATAGGCCCATACTGTAGGCATGACATCGGCGCTTCTCTTTTGGAACTAGGGCCGTTCTTGCAGCGTCGTGGGGGAGTCTCTGCCCGAGGTAAACTGAACTGGGCGGCCCAGAATGCGCTCGTCCAAGCCTGCGGACATGGCTCCAAGGCAGAGCGGCGGAGGAGGAGGATCGGTACGGCTATGGTTTCCCCTGGCTGGCTTCGACTGGTGTTTGGAGGCATGCTTCTTTTTTCTTCGAGGAGGTCCTGCATGTCCACAACGGGTGCCTGAGGGGTGGTGAGGTGGTGCTGGCTTCGGTGCCCTTTTTTTGGTATGTGAGGGGTGGAGGTGATACCACTTGGGGTGCCATATCCTGAGCCGGTAGCGCCTGGATGAGGTTCAGGGGATGAACCTGCACCGGATGGATCTCTCCCACCGCTCTCCCCGGATCGCGCTCCTTCCCGTTTCGACATTTGGGGATTCGCCCTCAGGTCATCGCCAATGCAGTGCTGCAGCTCTCCTGGGTCACCCGGCGAGGCGGCGGACTTTTGGAGACCTGTTACACGTTTTTGGTTCTCGTCGCGTGGCGTTCTCACCTCGGTGGAGGTTCTGGAGTCGTCCTAAAGATTCTTTTCCGAAAGGCTAGGCAGCCTACAGCCGGGATTTTTCGGCTTCAAACACCATTTTGTCTCCCTCCACGGTCGTGTTCCGGAGACAAAGCGGTGGTCCCCCTTCCATGGCGAGTCCAAGGAGTGTAAATCCATGCTGCACAAACCCTGACCACGTCGGAGTTGGCTTTTTTCCCTGCTGGAACAACTTCGTGAACAAAAAAGTTCGAAGCAAAAAGGGGGGAGGTCTGTCTCAATTGGAAAATCATCCAAGACAAGTTTGGAACTTTTATTGCCCGTCCTCCACACAGGTGTCGACATCAAGTTTTTCGTGCTGCCCCGCCTTGGAGGAGGCCTCCGATTGAATCAGGGACGGCTGGTGCCTCCATAAAAGCGACCTACATACGACACTTTAAAAGGGGGCTCCTTGTTGTGCAGAATCCAAAGAAGCAGGTCACACCCTGCAGACGATGGTACAACTAGTCTTCAGGCCACCCTACAAAAGGCATCATTACTTTGTTCAAGGCCTCAAAAGTTGTTGCAGTACCAACAAAAGGCATCATTTCCTTGATCCACTTCAAGCCACCCTCCTGGCCACCCTCCTGGCCACTCTCCTGGCCGCCAGTCTCAGGCGGCGACTGCGCCCGCACGCTGGTGGAGGGCTCGGCGGGGGCCTTTGAGCCGCCGTTTCAGGTCTCCGGTGCCCTGCGGCCGCGCGGCCGACAGAGGAGGGGGAGGAGGTGGTGGGGAGCCGTGGGTTGTTCTAAGACGCAGAGGGCGGTGGAATTTTGGAAGAGATGGTTTGAGAGTGATGTCTCAAATCCCTTCATTTTTGTGGGCTGTCAATCAGGTTTGGTTTAAGGGACGTGGAGAGAGTCAAAGCAAAGCATTCAATAACTCAGCAAGATCTTGTTGAGATGAGTCTGAGGGGACACGCCGAGTGAACGGATAAACAGAACATCTCAATCATACAATGCAATTGCTTTAGCAGGGAAAGAGCTACCAGCCAAGGACCAAAGAGTCATCGTTTAAGTATTAGTCCAGTTGACACAGATTTGATGAACGGCTTGGGCTTGGCACGAAGTCGAAGCTCCGAAGAACCGAAGAAAGGTCAAGAACCCAAAAACACCACTTGATGAAGGAACCTGGAAGCTTGGCCGCTGAACATGGCAGAACATGGCTGAATTCGTGGTACCGTGTTCCAACGGACCCCCCCAGGGCCCCGCTGTAGCTGGACGATTTCTTCCCCCTGTTGGGGGGAACGATTGTCGAACGTGCGAGGTTCCCATGTTTTCGGACCATGCGGACCGGACCACATGGATTCCAAGCCCACAAGGCGCCTCACGAGGTTGGTACCAACTGCCAGCTCGGAGACCATCCCCCCCGGTCGATGGGGGGGGATGGGATGGGAGTGCCTAGCGGCGTGGATGTACGTCCACGTCACCAGGTCCGCCAGGTCCGAGCCGAGCCCAGGAGTTGGGAGGTCCCCCAAAACGGCCAAGCCGAGCCGAGCCGAAGACACGGAATTGAGGAAACCCATCTTCCGCAACATGATCCAGAACGAGCTGTGCCCTGACTGACGCCGGATGATCCGGGTGTTTCTCCCTTCGGAGGAGTATGAGTACCAGGTCCGTTTTGGGACCGGGCTCGCCTGGGGCCCAGCTGGGCGATCGACATCGCAGAGGTCCTCATCCCAGGTCCACCAGGACCCACGCGCTCGGACTGAGGGGACACCCGAATCACATTCCAAGGGGCTATATCAATGGAAGCCCCTTATGTAGGGTGTCCTGGTAGTTTGTGGTGTTTCTATAACTTTTGGGCCGCTTTTGAGCCGTTGCTTTTCAAAGATGTGAAACATCCAGGCCCCAGGCTTCAGGAACGCACACTCTCCGGAGTCTCGATGTCGCTTTTCGACCGCGGTCGGCTGTCTCGTTGGGGTTCAGTGGGGCTCCCCACCCACTGGCCGGGCCACCTGTGGCCCACTGAGGGAACTCTTGGGCTTTGGTGCTCTGATGTCCGACATGTACCTGCGCTTGTGGCGGATCACCTGCGACGTTCAGCCCGTTTGGAGGCGCGTCGACGGGTCACTGGTCACGCGGTCGACCGCGCCGGAACCGGCGAAGACGGGCACCTGCCGAAGCTCACCGTGTCCATCACTTCGAGCCACAGGGTTTCGACGGGGGGGATGGTGGATCCGGTGTTGTTTTCCATACCTCCATAGACTTTGCGATCTTCCTGTGGAAACCGGTTGGGCTGGTGGGCACCACCCTGGTGAATCGGTTCGTGGATTTAGAAGGTTGAACTGATCAGACCCTGCTGCCTGGAAGGGAAGAGGAGGATGGATATGGCAGCGAGTCCAAACCTGGAGCCCGTTTCACGCTGGTAGGTGGACCATGTCTGGTGGCGTCATGATCTGCAACACGTCGTAGAATGCTATACAATCGACTTACTCATCTGGAAGTGGACAATGATGAACATGAGCCCACCTCCCTGACCCACAGCCCAAGACCTGACGCGCCCCCCTTGTCGTTCACGCCAGGAATGGGAACTCTCTGACTGAGCAGAACCCAGTGACCATTTGTGGCACCTATGCGAGTGGCTGGGAGGCGCGAATGGCTGAGGTCTTTTGAAGCCAAAGGGCTCATCCAGTTCTTTTCAGCCCAAGGAGATCCGAACCGCAAGAATGAACATGGCGCCAGGTCTTTTTTTGGGCTCCTGGAACTGAACTTGACTATGACGTTTTCTATTTCCATGGGACTGTTTCATCAATTCGACCAGTTTGATTTTTTTCTGTTTGGGGGTGGCTTTCTCCCCTGCTCCGGTGCCACCCTTGAGGTCCAAGGACATCCAAGGACGACACTCGCAAGAGAAGTCCAGGAATGTCCAGAAAATTCTCGAAATCAGATCCTGTAAAGACATCTGAAGACCCTTCCATTCTCGTTTTGAAGGGTCTTTTTATGTCCTTTTCATATCTTTTTTGTGACCTCTCCCCCGTCGTGGGTCAAATCCCCCGCAGCCCCACCTCCGGAACTAGGTCTACTTCGAGCCCAGCATCACTGAGCCCGCCACCGCGGTGGGCGTCTCCTTGGGCTATTCGGCCGGCAACACGGGCAGCGTCGCGTGGCCCGGCCGCAAGGGGGGGCGGCCCAGTGCGCTGGGCCGTGGAGTCCGGCCTGGGTTTGGGCTTTCGTCATCACACCCGTTCGTCCTCTGACTGACTTGCGACGGACACCCAAGACGGCGTGAGAGACTCCTGGTGTAGGCAGCAGTTCTCGGACAAGTGCATGGTGGCGAACTCGCCCTGCTTTTGCTCCTCGATGTCCAGTTGTGGTTGGCGGCGAAAGGAGGAGCCGATTTCGCTTTCGGAGGATCGGGGAGGGAAGAGAGCTGAGCTCAGAATGCCTCCTCGTTATAGATCAGATCCTGCAGTTCTTGAAGCCGAGCAGAACTCAGGGAACCCTGAGCAGGGTCCCAAGGTGTCCGAGCACTTTCCTCACAAGTTACCGGGGTCAAGAGGACCGTTTTTCACCGATTTCCTCTTTCGATCCGGTCGGCAGGAGGGGATTTCACCATTCATCGAAGGGGTCCTTTGACCACTCTGAGGATATGTTCTTCTTCACCCACCAAACCTTCAAAGTGAGGGCGCTGACCGTATAACCTCCAGAATTCTCCTAGATTGCTTTGTACCAAGAACCTGAAGGCAGAACATCTTAGTTTTGGACTTCCTCCATCACCTCACAGTTGCCGACCTTGGCCGGTGTTCAGAACGCCATTTGGAGGTGATAGAACATTCTCACCCAGATTTTCCACTCAACTTCATGAGAACTGCCCTGGCGTATGAGTTCCAGCGCAGGATGGTGTGGGCATGCACTGCAAGACCTTGGACAGTAGCGCCTTGGAGACGAGGACACGCAGGACACACGTGTGACTCTCGAACAAGAGAGTCATGATGATGCCATTAGTGTATGGTCAGTGTCAGGCGTCACCACCCTAGAAGTCCAGTTCGACGTTCCTTTGTGGCACGTTTTCCCCGTGCGACACGTGTGGGTCCCCGTTCTTTCGTCACGAGTCTTTCTGTTTGAGAGTGACTCTCAAGGACCATGTATTTGGGAATCCAAAGGAGAAGAGCAAAACATATCAGTCTTTTCTTCACATTCTTATCGGATCTCACCGGAATTTTATGTACACAAACAAAAAAATCGGTATATAAAGGTCCGAAACGCGGACTCCCAGACTTCGTTGGGAGGGTGGAGGTGATGGGATGGGGGAATGGGACATCAACGAGATATGGTTTTGAGGTTCCGGAACGCAATTCGGTGGTTGCGCGCTGTTCCGCGCCCCCCTTTTTCAGCTTCAAACTCCGAGTTTCGGAATCCGACTTGAAACGTTTCATAATGCTGACTTGCAAGTCTCGCGCTTCAGAACTGCGACGTTGTTCCAGAGTCCCATGTTTTCAGACTCCGGCTGCCTGATCGTGGAGCCGCCTCCCAATGGCTCGCTGTCCGGTCTGGGCGGTCGCGCACTCGCGGACGCGGAAGCCCACCCGCGCCCTGCCGGGTCTCCGTGCACCACGCGGTCAGTCTCCGTGGTCGGTCGCGGAAGCACAGGTGACACCGCCACGCCGGTGACGTGTGACGCTTGCGCGCAACAGCCGGGCTGTCCGCCCAGCTGCTCCTCGGTCCGTTTGGGAGCACGGCGGAAAGGTCACACCGAAAGTCGGGAGCACGGTGGGGGAGCAGGTGAACACCAACGGGGGGGGAGCGCAGAGGTCTATTGAGAGAAATGGACCTAAAGGATCGCTTGTGGGTACGCAATGATGCATGTCCTGCGTTGGATGTTGGTGTTGTCCATTTCTGTGGGGGGCGTTCTTGGTATATTCGTCTCACTCTGCTCCCTATCCCATTCTTTGCTGCGCGCTCAGGCAGCTCGGCGTCCTATCCCTGCCACTGTGCCTCGATCGAGGCCACCTGCCGTTGGGACGTCACGCCGCTGGGCGAGCAGACGTCACGCCGCGCGGTCTCGCGCGGGTCCGGCGCTGGAAGGGAGCCACTTCTTCGGTGGGAAAGTTTTGACCCACAGCTCGTCACCGACGCGATCAAAGCAAGATGCGACAGAGCAGAAGAGGAAGGGACATAGATGGAAATAGCATGGCCAAACGAAATTACATCAACATGCTTGCAACGAATTGATGGTCATGGAAAACTGTATATGCGTGCGCTTGATTGGATCATATTTGCATGAATTCGTTCTTGTACTTTATGAGATCAGGGAATATATTGGGTGCTTCGTCCCATGAATGGAATGTTCGTAGTCTACGGCAGTAGAGAAATGTAGAGAAGTCGTGTTTCCGCCTTCCCTAGCTAGCTTTCTTTCTTTCTTTCTTTCTGTCTTCTATATATACCTTTTTGTCCTACACCTGTAGGCTGTAGACTGCAGTCTACAGACAGTTTCTTTTCTTTGTCTTTCTTTCCATCCGACTTGCTTTGCCGCGACCCCTCGCCGAGGACGGGCGTGTGCTTGGAGGGGCCAGCGCCCAATGGCGAGGACGTGCCTTGCAGCTCCTGTTCCCTACAGGACCAGCAACCGGGTGCACTGCGGGTGACTGGGGGGCGGGTGACAGCGACGATCGCAACGGGTGACGGGGTGACAGAGATCGCGCCTGCCGAGTTCAAAGAGGTTTTTGGGTCCTTTATAGATGGGGGGGAAACGATTTGAAGCCAGGTACACTGGAGGCATCAGGCAAGCCTGTTGGATTTTTGGATGGATACTCACGATTCGCTTAAGATCCACTTTGTGGTTGCTGAGGGGAAAAAGATGGAGAACACTTGACGATTCACGCTTTTACCATCCCAGCTACCTTTCTGTCTTGGCACCTGGTGTTGCTTGAATCATAGCAAGTTACTCGCTGTGATGGAGATTCTACCCGGGTCCCTTGCCTCTCATGTTGGAACATTGGTTGGTGCAATAAGAATCCACGATTTGGATTGATTTGGTTTCATCTCCAACCAGGGACACTGCAGACACCCAGCCAAAAGGGGGCAAGACCCACCCGCCCAAAAACGGACCTTTCCCCTGCCCCCCTGCCCTGCGAAGCAGCTTCAAACGGAATCCCTGCTCCCCATCGCTTGGGCAGGACAGGTGCCAGGCACCGGATGTTTCGCTGAGCTGAAGCGGGGGGGTTCTGGCACGGTGAGGACCAAGCGGTCTCGTCTCCGAGGAGTTGGTGCTCCACCCCCAAACCAGTCGCAGTGTTTTTTGGGGCACGGGCGATGTGTGGTGCCTGATCATTTGCATGTTTTGGGGGGTGACATGGTAGGATAAGATCTAGTCGGACTTGTCAATTCCTTTCCGAAAAATTAGTACCACACTCTCACTCAAAAAAATAATCATGCTTTTTGTTGCAAGAAATTACCCCAACAAGTGGCTTGGAGCCTTGCATTTCTTCAACCTCAAATCCGTAAGGGAAAGGTCTTTCGAACTCACCTTTGGATGATTCTGCTTCACCTAGCGATGACATTGGGCTGGATGCTGGTCATGCGCGTTCTTACACGCTCCAGGCGCTGCGCCCGCGGGCCTTGGAGTTCCGCCCGAACAGCATCTTCGCGCTGACCCGCGAGGGGCCGAAGTCGCTCATCGTGCCTTGGGGCGTTTCACGGCGCCGGGAGCGGAGGGGGAGCGGAGGAGGGGGGCAGGCGCCGGATGGACCGGTCGCTGTTGGAGGGTCCGGGGGTTTGGAAGAAACTGGAGAAAAGGGGATGAACGATTCGGCCCAAATTCCATGAGCCCGCCCAAAGAACGACCTTCACGTTGTGACAGGACACTCGTGTCTGCGCCTCCCAAGTGCACTCGATTCCCCACCCCGGAACTGTCGATTCTGCCGCCGATCGGCGGCCGTTCTGCGCTCTGAGGAGGTGGACTTCAACGTCGCCTTGGCCCTCCCGGCCGTGGCCGCGCGCGCGGCGGCGCGCTTCCTCTGCGGCACCGATGGCTTTGATCCCTTGGCGCGGCTCGGTGGGGGGGGTCGATTGTGGAGATGTGGTGGATAGCAGATGCTGATTTCGGGTGGGGTGAACAGACGTCTACCAGAAGAGGTCGTTTGGGTGGTGTTTGGATCCTATTTGGAAGGTTAATAGCGAACCCTCAGGTTTCCAGGTCATAAATCGTCTTTTTACAGCTGAACTGGGCAGATGGTCTCCCTGCATGCTCCCATGAGCTCACCTTTTTGCAGTGTTTCAAGAGCCTGGACGGCACAACAAATCCCTCACCACGGCATGGCTGTTGTGCGGCTCCAGCTCGGAAATCATCCCTCGCCCCGAGGAATTCGCTGCAACTGCTGGAGTATGTGGCTTTTGGGCAGCAAAGGAAGAGGATGGGACCGTGTCTGCCGGTGTGAAATGGCCGGATTGGAGCGATCTGCATGGCAGATCGGGGGATCTACAGTTGATCTACAGTTGAGCGCCTGACTGAGCGCTTTGAGTTGGCCGGCTTCTCCCCGTTCACTTCGCCGTTTTGCGACCCAGGTCCCTCCTGAGGCGCTCTTGGTGGAGGGAAGGACCTTGAAGTTGGCCTCGGGCACCGTTCAGGTGGTCGAACCCACAAGGCCAGTGGGCACACGGTGCGGGCAGAGAGAGCACCTAAGAGGTTTGTATTGCTTCAGCTTCAGGGCACCCCCCACTCCAAGCAGGGGGTGGGCCAAATCTCAAAAGAAACAAATCACCTGCGTCTTCATCCATTTGCTTGCAGCTTTTCACCCCTTCACCCATACTGTGCTCGGTTTCAGGTGCACGCTGATCCTCAGCGGCGGAGTGGTCTCCAGCGGCTTGGGTCGGTGCTTGGTGTCTTCTGTTCTCGGTCGGTCGGTGGCTGTGGACCTAAGTGGCCAAGACTAGCACCCGACTTCACAGGTCACCACACACTTTGAAGTCTAAAGCTACCAGAGGAGACCTGTAGAGTCGGGTGGTCGTGGCTTCCGGGGTAGGGAAAGCGGCCTAAGACCACCAGCACGGCTCGCAAGAGGCCTCGATCGGGTCAAACCTCGAGGAGGTTTCGAGGTCTTTTGGCGTGGGTGAACCTGGGCTTGCCGAGGTTCTAAACACATGGTCATTTGCAGCTTTTGTTGGGCTCTGTTCCTAATGCAAAAGACCTATATATATATTATATTATATTATATTGTAGTGTGTTTTTGGGCTTCTCGCGGTTTTGCTCCTAACATCATCATACATATTGTGTTTTTGTTGGCAGCCAATATCTAGGAGATAGGAGGAATTATGACTTCTTCATCATTAATCATTTATGACTCCCATAGGGTCCAGGTACCTCCTGAGGATGGTCTTGGAGGTGAAAGTACTTCCTAAGAATGGTCTTGGGTTCAAAGGACCTCAGGATGGTCCTGGACCCTTAGGGACCATGTCTCTTCTTGGCCTATTTGAGTGTGAGTTAGAAACGATCCCACGAACCAGCGATGACCAAGCGGTATGGTGTTCAGAATCCACCTGGTGGCGTGGCGTGTTGGCACCCCAACACCGGACCCGCCCGCATCGACCACCCGGGACGCATCGACCGGGACGCTCGATGAGGCCGTGATGATGGCTTGCCGTCCCAGCCGGTGGAGTTTGGTGAGTACTACTTCAACATGAAGGATCTCGCGACCGGGACATGTCTCTAACATCCGGTGCGGGATGGCGACCGTTTAGTAGGTGAAAAGAACAGGTTTGGTGGAGCGAGTGGAGGCCATATGAAGGGATTCAAGGGGTGCGGAGTTCTGCTAAGTGCCAGGGTCGGGCAAGCTTGTGTTGAGAAGAGTCATCCTGAACAGGCACTGAGAGGAGTCATCCTCTCAGTCTCTTGTGACGTTGAGAGACTTAGCCGCCGGTGACCGCCGGTGACCGACCGCCAGGACTCGGTGCCGCCGCAGGTCGCCGCCTTTTGGCCATCGAACGGTGCGGGCAGCGTGCCGCTCGGCATCGGAGCGTGGGGCATGGGGTTGCGACCGGAGGTGTAGTGGGTGTGTGGGCGTGTGTTTTTGTTTTTTTCCTTTTTCTGAACTATGCCCAGGTCGCCAGAGTGGTGTGTTCTTTTTTGGAGGTGGTAGGCCGTAGTGGTTCAGCCCCCCCAAATGTGCTCTGTTCAACACCTCCAACAGGTTTCCTTCAGAGTTTTGATGGACCCTCAAAAGAGTCTCAACTGGTGACCCCCCATGCGTGAGGCTTCCGAGCGTTCGTTCGTTGAGGCTTCCGTTCGTTGCGCCGTTCCATGGCGGAGGTGATGGTCTAACACTCCTCCGGTGGGTTTGTATTCCTACTCCGTGTTAGACGGTCAGACACGGTCAGACGGCGGGTTCACACCCTCGGAGATGTAACGCCTACGAGGACCTTCCGTTCGTGACCGACCCTTTGAGATCCGAATGAGGTCACTTAGAGACTCCAAAGAGGTCACTTCACTTTGAAGGTCCTGGTATTCTAGTAGGTGGTTTGATTTGGTTGGATTCATCAACAGGTGTACATGAGGGAGACCCCCGTTGCCAACGTTGTAAGAGTCCGCCACAAGCGCGATTTGTTCCTTGTGGCGGCGCTGCCAAGGCCCACCGTAACGCAGCTACTGGGCACGAAGGTTGCGTTGGTTGCGGGGTGGGAAGAAATGGTTTTGGTCGTGCTGCCTTGATGTTTGGAAGTCGCCGGCATGGCATACGGGGCCCATGGTGAAGTCAGTCATGTTGCGGAAGGGATCACTGCGACTGGCGTGGTGAATTTTCTTGCGACTGGCAGGGTCCTTTTGGGGATCGAGCTCCACCAGTCATGTTGGGGTTCTTTGAAGGCTGGACCCCCCGGCTGATGAATTGCGGCTGTCAGTGGAGAACATTCACCTCCCACCTTAACGTCCAAGCCAAAGAACCATCCCTGCCATGGAGGGCCTAAAGGTTGTTAGGAGATGGAGTAAGCATCAATCCTGCTTCACATCTCCCCTTTCGCCCCCCACGTCTACAGCTCCGCGGTGGACCATGACCAGCCACCCAGTGGCGACCGGCAGCGCAGCAGTCTGAGGTGGATCACCATCAGCTTCAGCGAGAGGAGGGATGAGCGTCGTTGGCGCGCGCGATGCTTCAGCGATGCACGGCGCGATGCACCGGGGCAATGCGGGCGGCGCTTTGGTGCTCTGCCCGCCTGACGGCGAGTGGTTGCGACAAGCAGGTTGATCAGTTGATGAGTTGGTGAAGAACCAGTTCCATGTCAGGTGCTGGGAGGACAGAGGTGCCCAGGGCAACTCCGCCCACTTATGCTTCAAGCACTATCAAGGTTTGTTCTTGCTGGGTCTAGATATTTGGTTGGTTCTGAACTTTGGGAGTTGGAGTTACTGTAGAAGAGGAGAAGAGAGGACCGCGTTGTTCAAGCAGCACACCAAGTATCATGTCTCCTTCACCTCAAAATTCACCTTAAAGGCACGCCACGTTTGGTGCTTCGACCGTTGGTCTTTTGTTCACCCCCATCTGTCTTCAGACATCTTGTTTCGGTGCCAGTGCCATTGTTCGCCTCTGAAGCCACCGTACCAGCTCACGGATCTCCAACGACCGGGTCGAATCCAGCGCGGTCCACCGCGGTCCACCGACCCGCCACCGCGGCGGCGAGGATTCGCGCCACGGAGAGCTTCGAGGCGCTCCTGACGCGCACCGACGTGATGGGCGAGCCTGCCGATCCGCCCGTGGCGGTGAGCGTCTCGGACGGCGCATGGCGTGAACTCGGTGGGGGGGAGGGGTGGCTGGAGGCTCGGGTGTCGGGGGTTTGGACCTTGGAACCCGTTGGGGGGGGTTTTCAGGTTCTTCTTAAAAATAGACTCGCAACATGGATGGTTTTAAGATGTATGGCCGCAGTTCTTTTGGGTCGACCCTTGAACTTGTCTTGCGTGTTTGATATGCTGATATGCTTTGGTTTTGCGTGGCTTGTAGGTGATTGATCTCTCCGATCTTTGACTTTAACTCTTGTGCGCAGTTGCGGAGATGGGGCTTTACAAGCCCAAATGACATACCAGCGTTCCGTTGATGTTCTTTTTTCGTCTGCGGGAGACCTGAACGACAGACAGTTGGTGGCCTTTGAACACCAGGGTCTTTTGACGGTCTGCCTGCGTGTTGTTGGAGTTCTTTTCGAGCGGCAAGGCTTGCACAGCGTCCACCAGCGGACCATGACCTTGGCGATCCAAGGCAGGGGACGGGGGGGCGGGCGGCATCGATCCGGCGCATGAGGTCCGGATTCGAAGGTGTCAAGTCTCAGACTCTTCGAACGATCAATGTCTCATCTCTGGATGAAATTCTTCACTCAGTCTTGGCTTATATCTCTATCGACTACTAGACTTTGTTGAAACACCACATCGCTTCCCACAGCAACCCCCTTTTCATATCTTGGCTTCGCCTCCCGTCGCGGAAGATCGAACGCGAGGCTTGCTGGGGCCTGGGCGATTCTACCAGCCTCTCGGAGGGGTTTTGAGGAAACGGTGGCGGTTCGTTTCACGCCCCCAGAAAAGAACCGAAGCGCCGGAGTGCTTCTTTGAGTGCAACGAGTGCGGTTCGAACCGCTTTGTGACTTTCTTTTTTGGTGCGAGCCACGCTCGATTCTTTTTTTTTTTTTGTGGCGATGATTGGCCTGGCAAAGTCTTGAGTGAAGCATCAAACATCGTGAATTCTCAGGATTCCGAGTTGATGCGCCAAAACCCTCCGGCGCCTTTCACATTGGATGAACCCCCTCCGATCGGGGCTCAGAACCACTTTCTAGCCATCGTGGCTGGATCCCGGACTTGATCTCTACCTAGCGCTTCCAAGGGATGCCCAATGGAGACCTGTAAGTAGTGTGGAGATATCCATTGGTGACCCCCAACGGAAGCAGCTGGTACCCTCTTCTTTTGGGTTTTCAGCGACACGTACTACGACGGTAGCGCCCCTAAAGCAGGTGTCTTTGCCAGACAAAGAAGAAGAGGTGGCCGAGGGCCTCTGAAGGATCGAGATCCCAAGCCGTCAGCATCGAACCTCGGTTCGTGCTCGGTTCAAAAGGTGTGAAAGTTCCCCACCGCCAGGCTCACCATCTCTGACAAATCGATCATCGACTATGGCAGCCTGGCCTTTGAGGGGATCACTGCTGGTGCCTACAAGTTCAAGACGGAAGGCTCGCTTCGCGCTTTACTGCGTCCCAACGGCATCTAGATCAAAAGAGAACAAGACTAGGATCAACAAACATAAGAACAGTAACACGATAAAAAATAAGAAACGGATCAACAAACAAACATCCTGAGTAGGCCCCCTTGTCCATTGGTCCGCTAGTCCTTTGCTCCCTGGTCCTTTGGTCCCCTGGTCTTTTGGGACCGTCCTGTGCGCCACGAAATCTGCACTACTTTCACCGACTTTTTCAAGGTCACCCCATCTCCACACCAACCGTGGCGCGCCCAACATCCGAAGCTTTTTTTGCTTCTGTGTGGCCAACATCCTTTGGTCGCCCGCCCTGCTGTTGTCTTCTTTTCCCTTCGTTCCTTTGACGAGTCTTCCGGACCCCGGGTGAAGTCGAGACGGGGTCGGTCTCCGAGCAAGGTGGAGACCCAGGTGGAGACGAATGAACCGTTCACATGGCAGGACCTTCCAACAGGTGGTTTTAGAAGCCTAACGGTTTCTTGGGCACCTGTTCGTAGAGTCGGGTGCTGGTGTGGGGGACCTCCCAACCCGTGGGACTGGTCGAGTTTCCGAACCTGAAAAGGGGTCGGAACGCCTGGGAAGTCTTTGAAATGTGGGACCCATGGTCGCTTTTCTTTCTTGATCTCACCCCAAAACACCTTTGTTTCCTTGATGTTCCTTGATGTTCCAAGCGTTTGCGTCCCTTTTTGCCCTCAAGTATCATGTCAACCTGAATCAATCCGGTCATTGGATCCCACTCACATCGCGCACCGAACCGTACCTCACCTCTGCAGCTTCGACCATCACCTGATCGCGGCTTCGACCATCACCGTGATCAGCAGTTGCCACTATAGTAGGCAACTACCAGCACCCGACTCTACAGGTGTTTCCTGGTGACAAGTCCTGGTGACAAGTCCGGTGTTAAAACCACCTGTTGGAAGGTCCTGGTAGTGGTTTCCTGTTATGGAATCCATAGACTTCAAACCGTAGACAATAACTCCCTGGCATTCGAAGACCGCGCCACGTCCGTTTGCACCCACGCGGTGCTTGACGTACCGGTGCGGTGGACCAACATGCAAATCCTGGATCATCCAGATGGCTGCGACGCCCATGGGTTCTTCCCAAGCAAAAACAGCAAGAACACGCCCACTCACACACACACAACGCCGCGAGGCACCTATGAGGAGGTCCAAGTCATCGAAGCGCCCGCGGAAAGTTTGCCGGGCGCCGCCATCGCCCGGGACGCCCGGGAGCGGGAGCGCGCGACCGCGCGCGACCGCGCGCGGTGCCGGCGTTGGGTTTCGTGGTGGGGCGACATGTGTTGGCATAAGGGGATGGGTATAAGGGGGACGTGGACCTGGTAGGTCATGGGTAGGACCGGGGGTGCCAATCGCCATGGCATGCTTAGTGAGCCATACGGTGCAAGAGTGTGATCAAGCAATGCATTCTCACCCTCTGTGATTCCTGTGCACATCATATATGTGCGGTCAGCTTTGTCCTTGCAGGAAGCATCTTGAAACGTAACCTGAAAAGAGAAACGTTTGTTTTTTTCCATTTTTATATATCTACTAACTTGCTCTCCCCCCCTCCATCGCATTTCTGTGTGTTTTGCAACAACAATCTACTACGAACATTTTGGGAGCGGAGGGTCTTTCGGGATCAACGTAGATGGCGCAACATGATGTAGCGGTTCAGACAATGCTAAACATCAAAAGGTCACCTCCAGGATATTTGCCAGCTCCAACACATTTTTGACGCATCCCCATCATCCTCATTTGCTTTCACGATGGGCTTGTGCTGCGGGTCTCCTTCATTCGTTCCGCCGAGGCAGGAATCGTGGGTGGCGCTGTGGTGTTGCTACTCACGGCGCTGTTCTTGTGCTACCGGGGCTACATCGCGCCGCGGCCGAAGAAGGGACCACGGCACAGGGACCAGCGCCGAAAGGGCACGGTCGTTCGAAGGTGGTTTTCTTCCCTTAGAAATCAATAGGCGTAAAGCCGAGATTTTTTTCCCAAGTGTGGACTGTTGATGAATAAAACTTCCCCATGTAAGAGGCTTTGGACATCGGTTGAGATGGTGCATCTGGGGGTGGCCTGTTTTGGGGTGGCCACATGGTGACTCGCCTCGATTCCTGGAATAGATAGATACAGCTAACATGTTCGACATTCTATTTGCAGAAGGATGCTTTTTGAGGATGCAAGACTGAGGACAGCTGCAGTGTCCTATTTTCTGAGGCAGCCTCGGAAAAGGATGATTTGGTGCATGTCATCGAGCAGGACGATAATAACAAGAAAAAGAATAAGAAGGCCCAGCAGTGCCGGGATGGGGAGCTGGGGTGAAGCCCCAAAACTACAGGATGCTGAACTGAGCAACACGTCTTTCAAGATCCGATCTTCATTGGACCCGGACAGGCTCGGCAAAACGGTGCCAAACGGGGGGTGAACGGAGGACAACGAGCCGACTCCTCACAGGAAAAGAGCAACGAGCCGCCCGCGATCTTTGGTTCGGATGCTTCTGGGCGAAGAAGACAGGGCGCAGGTGGCTGACAGGCGCAGGTGGCTCGAGACAGGGTGGCCTTCTGCCGAACCTGGGCTTCGAGACCTCTTTTTCTACCTCCAAAGGCACCCTTTTCGAGACCTGTTTTGGTTTTCATGATTCCAAGAACTGTTTGTCTGGAGTCAAACGAAGGCGTCCGAACCAAACCAGGCTGACCTGGCGACCTGGAAGGTGCAAGGCCGAATGGCCGTCCGACTGGACGAGTCCGACTGGACAAGGACAAACGCCAAGGACCAGCCAAGCTGTTGGGTCGTGGCACCGAGTGTCAGCTTCATGACACCAAACCAAGTTCTCAACACCTCATATTAGCTTGGAAGGGAGGTTGAGGTGAATTGCTTGGGTGGAATGATGTTTCGAAAGATCTTAAGGTTCATGGAGTGACATTAGCTTTGCAATTTGCAGTTGTGCAATGACCAGGAGGCCCCTTTGCTTGCAGCTTGTACTTCTGACCTTCTATCTACGATGCCGCAACCTGTTTCTCAAGCTTCATGGAAGGGTGGATCTCGGGTCTTTCTGCCCTTGTTCAGGCTACTCACTTCCTCGCCTGCCCCGCGCATTGTCACCCTTCGATTGTAGCCCCATTTCTCCTGGGGCTTCTGTCAGGGGTCTGTCTCTCCCTCGTCGTCCTCGCCGGCCTTGCTTTTGTGTTCTTTCTGCATCCTCACTTGCTGAGGGCTCCGGCATCTTTCACGCCCCAGCCCTATAGAACCACAAGCCGGCTTCGCGGCTACTTGCATGAGCATTGAGGCCTCGGTTTCGTCGATTAAGGAAGAGCTGGTTCAGGTGGGTTTTGAGCTGAGGGCCCTGAGCGAGAGGCTTGCTAGGCTGGTCGAGAGGGTCGGATCTCTTGAGAGCAGCGCCCTGGCCGACCAGAGCTGGGAACTAGTCGAAGAGGGATCACTTCCGATCGGGGTCACCGACCTAGCTCACCCGTATCCCGGTGCAACCACCTCACCACTGAGGGACATCGAGCCTGTCGTACCAAGGTACTTGATTGACTTGTGCAGCGAGCGACTAAGGTCCAATTCGTCCATCACGCCTGTTGAGAGGGCCAAGCGAGCTTTTGAGTTAGGCCACAGTGCCTGGTTGGCCATCGCCACAGGGGCGCATTACCGGCCTGCAGGATCTGTCCCGCACCTATCGAGCACGCATTGGATTGTCCTCCGAGGGTTAGGATTAAAGGAGACCGTGCGCACATCCACTCGCAGGGACGCACTCCGTGCCTTGGCAAGTTCGGATCCGACCGCGATCATCGAGGAGTTCGCATCGTTCATTGAGTTGCAAACTTTTTGCGTTGCTGCTAGGGTCTTTGTGCCCCCACTGAAGCGATGCACAAGTCCAGCATCCGGTTTGCAGAGGTAGGGGAACCTAGCCTCCTAATTTTCTCAATACCCTCGGAGATTTCAAGATCGGGGGAGAACGGACAAGCCTATGCACAGCCCCTTTTGTCTAGAGAGGGGGGGTTTTTGGTAGCCCTGCCAGTGGAGTCCCTTTCATTGGAAGCACTGTCAGCCGCTCAGCAAGCAGACGATCAAGACCTACTGGGTCCCTCGTACGTGGTGACGGTAGGCCTTTGTGAAGAAGATGAATTCGGTCAGATATATAGCATTGATCACGAAGTTCAAGTTCTTTTGGTGGACCTTTCTGATTCAGCGCTCCAAGCTTTCAGAGAATATGATCCGGTGACGGATTCACTGGAGGAACTGCAAGCATATGATGATCATCATCCTGCGGCATTGCCACTCTCGGCCTCCTTGGTATCTCTGGCAAAGCAGTGGACCGAGGACCTGGGACAATCTCGCCTAAATTTTTACTCGGCTCGAGAAGAGCTGGAGACTCAGAGTGTGGCGCCCAAGACCCCAGGTCAACCGAAGAAGGCGGCGCCCAAGAGACTCACAAATGCCGCTTTGGCAGAACAAGTCGCTGCGCTGGCTACTCAGGTACAAGCTTTGACGGCGCTTCAACAGATGCCAAGACCGAGGCCCGAGACTGCTGCGCCCTCTGCCGCGCCTGCAGGAGGACAACGGCTTGGTCTAGGCCTTGGACCTTATCCACAAACGCCGGCACTGGGTCAAGGGTTTGCTCATCTGGGACGGCCCAAGGATGCGGCCGTCAAGGCAGCAGCATCCCTCTTGGGGCCACCCCCAAAGACGCAGAAGAAGCCCGCAGTCCCTGCTCTACCGGAGGAGGTTGCTCGAGACGAGCCACAAGACCCTTTCCAACAAGCGGCGGACCCCATGTTGGCAGCGCTGTCCCTGCAGAGCACTGCATTGACCAGCCTGGTGGCGCACCTTGCGGGCCACTCGACAGACCCGCTGATAGACCTGCAAGGAGGAAGCATCAGCTCCAGTTCGTCCTCAACCCGGGGGGTCGCCAGGCGGGAGAAGATGCAAAGCGACCTGGCACTCAGACAGAGCAATTACTGGCTCGCCTTCCTTCAGCAGCTGTCAAGGAGGATGAACCCCTCTCGCCCGGTGCCTACCTCCACAGATATGGCAAAGGATTCCGATCTTTCGTTCCTGGCCTATCTGGAGAGGCACGGTGCCTACAAGCAGTCGAAGGAGATCGGCACCATTCTCTGGGTGCTTGGGTATATCGTCGATGCTGCAATTGCGCAAGACTTCGATGGTGTCAGAGAACACCTTGCCCTCTTCGCCACGGCTCTGGATCAGGCGGCCTTGGACCAAGGATGGTCAACAGCATTCCTGGTAACTTTGGCCGAGGAGCCACCAGCGACTTTGTTTGCAGAGAAGGGAACCAGCCTCTCGGTGTCCAAGCCTTTCAGCCCACTGATGCCAGTTGCATGGGGGGCCGTGTTGCTGGCCTACCTGAAGGACCTGGATATCATGAACTCCAAGAAGCAGGAGAGTCCATCCAAGAAGGCGGGGGCGTCAGCCAGCCAAGAAACCAAGGAGGGCGATTCACCGAAGAAAAGGCCTCGCTTCCCCAAAAAGCCAAAGGGAGGCGGTGGCCAAGCAGCTCAGTGAAGGCTATGCATGTGTCTCCTCCACCACGTGACATACAGTCATCGCCACGGGAGGAGGGGAGAGATCAGAATTCATGGAGAGGCCAGCCTGATGATCACGCCGGCCAACCACAGCCCAGCAAGTTCAACCATGAAGCAAAATTCGATGCACTTCAGCAGCATATGTCGCTCCCGAAGTGGTGCGCGTGTTTGACATCGGCTGTACTCAGGACGAGGACACCCTTTGCTGCTTTTCTTGCCCGTACTTTCCATCTGCCTCGCACCTCCCAGAGTGCGTCACCGTCCATGTTCCCGGTCCCGCTCCCTTCGGGTGAGCCTTGGGCTCGGATGCCCCCAGACCTTTCTTCAAGGAAGAGAAGGCAGATCCACGTTGCTCGGGCCATCCACATCATTGTTCTGGCTTTGAACTTTTACCATGCTGGAGGACCATGCAGCCTGGAGGCCTTGGGGAGAACTCCGAACGCCTACCATAAGGGCATTTATCAGAGGATTCGGAGTTTAATCAGGGCGGAGGGCCAAGCTACGATTCAATGTATTGCTAGCTCTGGTCGTAGGCTTCCACAATTAGTTGCACGACTTTCGGAGCTATCTCAAGCCCTAACGTCCATTGGCCCTTCTTGCAATCCCTATGACAAGGTGTTCAATGGCTTTGAGGTTGCTCCAACCACAGACGCAGAAGAGCTGAAACCCTATAGGAATCTGGATGCAAAGAGACTTGTCCTGACTGGCAGGGGAGCATGGGACGCCACAGAGTTCCTGCAGGATGAACCGGTTCTGGCCTTCCGTGAGCCAGCATCTCTCCTCTTTACAGATGAGCCCCTACAAGAAGATGTGCCGCTGATTACCGATGATCCTAGCGAGATAGTCGCACTCGCATCAGTCTGGGACAAGCAAGGCCTGCTTTTCATCCATGATGGCAGAGCTTTTGATGAGCATCCTGAATGCTATACCCGCATCTTCAATGCGTTCAAGAATGTCAAGATGGACCGCCAAATCGGCGACCGACGTTCGAGAAATAGTTGCGAGGGCCGTGTGAAGGGCCCCAGTGCCTTCCTCCCATGTGGCCCCGACCTTTTAGACTGGTACTGTAACCCCAGGACCCACTACATAGCCCAAGCCATCACTGACAGAAAGGATTTTTATCACCAGTTTGCTGTTTCGGATAGCCGTGCTTTTTCGAACACTGTAGGACCGCCGGTCGATGCGAGCGAGCTAGAACAATTTGATGCCTTCTCGGCGTACCTCCTACGCCAGGCGAAGTCCAGATACCACAGAGGTCTTCACGGAGACCGTTTAGGCCTGAAAGGTCAGCATCTTGCAAAGGGCCAGCCGCAGAAGCTTTTCGTTGCTTTTAGATCGATCCTCCAGGGAGACCACACAGGGGTTGATGTAGCTACTAGTGCACACCTGTCGCTGTTGAAAGGCGTAGGCCTCCTTGATGAGAAGTCTAGGTTACAAAGTTGTACTCCCCTTTTTGATCAGTCAAACTGCGAAGGACTTTGTATTGACGACTATTTTGCAATGAGCCTTGAGACCCTGGGCACGCCGTTGCAGGCCTTGGGTGCAAAGCTGAAGATCGATCGGGCCCTTGAGGCCTATCAGCAGGCTGGGATTCTGGGAAGTCCTGAGAAGGACGTGCTGGCCGATAAGGCAAAGATTGTTGGGGCCGTATGCAACTCAAGTGCGGAGGCCCGCGCCCAGGGTGTTGTTACCTTAGGCGCCCCTACTGAGAAGCGTATTGCACTTTCAGTCATCAGTCTGCAGCTGTGCACCTTGACGCACACCACAGACGTCTTACATGTGTGTTTGACCGGGGGTTGGGCGTCAGCCTTCATGTTCCGCAGGCCTCTCATGGGCCTTTTGCATAGGGTTTACGATCTTGTGCAGGGTTCAGTAGTGGACCCTAACCGCCCAAAGATTTGTCGCCTGCCTAGGTCGGTTGCCAACGAGTTTGTCCTTGCGGCAATCCTGATGCCGCTTGCGAGCTCAGACTTGAGCGCCGATTTCAACACACTGCTGTACTGTAGTGACGCCTCCAGCAGGATGGGCGCCTTTTGCTCAGCATCGATTCCTAGAGACCTGTCGTCGGTGATTTGGAAAGCATGTAAATCTAAGGGGGCTTACACGAGGCTCCTTTCGCAGGTTGAGTCGGACATCAAACGCATCGGAGGTTCCGAGTCATTTGAAGACGAGCTTGAAACGGCAGCGCAGCCGGTTAATGTCCGTAGGCCGTTGGCCTATCGTTTCGCGTTCATCGAGCTGTTTGCGGGGTCCTCAAAGGTCACGGAACAGATGTCTCAACTCGGGTGGTCAGTAGGCCCGCCCATCGACCTGAGCTTCAGTCCGGAATATGACCTCTCGGCGGTTCATGTCATGAGTTGGTTGAGCCACCTAATAGTCACTAAGAGTATAGAGAGCTTTGCCTGTGAACCTCCCTGCACCACCTTCTCGATAATGAGAAGACCGCAACTGAGGTCGAAGCTGGAGCCGTATGGTTTCTGTCCCGCAGATCCACAAACCAAAACAGGCACAGTCCTCGCGTTGAGAGGGCTCCAGTGTCTTCATTTGGGGCACAGGGTTGGGACACCGGGCTGGCTTGAGACCCCTTTTTCTTCTCGTTTGAAAGCGTTGCCTCCCTACAAGAGACTCCAAGGGGCCAAAGGAGCTGACTTTTGTAGGTCGGACTCATGTTGTTTCGGTTCGGAACATTTGAAGCCTTTCGCTTTCCTCAGTGTTTGGGCCCCGCTCAGCAGGGTGAGGAGGAGATGTAGGTGCTCAGGTAAGCACCTGCAAGTGCAGGGTCAGTACACAAAGTCCAGCGCCATGTATACAGAGGACCTCGCACGAAACCTTGCTCTGGTGCTCCATGATGCCATTTTGGCAAAGAGGGCCCTCGACGAGGACTGGGACGGAGCCCCTTCCGCGGGACTTGAAAGCCTTCTGGTAAATCAGCTTGCTCTGGAAGCGCCTTGGCAGACTGAGAAGAAATGGACCTTCAAAGGAGCCTCGCACATTAATATTCAGGAGTCTGTCTCGGTCCTCAGAGCGATTGAGCATGCATCAAGGAAAGGCTCCCCCCAGAGGACCTCCATTCTCGTCGATTCGAACGTCGTTAGATGTGCGGTTTCAAAAGGACGAACATCGTCCAGAGGCCTCATGCCGATTTTAGCTAAGATCAATGCAGTTTCCTTAGCCGCAGGCCAGTACCTGTGTCTGCCCTTTTGTCCTACTCGTCTGAACCCTTCAGACGACCCCACTCGTGGTGTTGAACTTAGATCCCCAGTGCGCGAAGGTGCCACTCTCAGACTGAGCCTCTCGGAGTGGGAGGACATGGCAAGCCATAAGGGTCTTAGGAGCACAGCCGCCAACTGGTTGCGTTTTGTAGTTTTGGTGGGCGGGACCCATCTGTTGAGCCTCAGAGATCAGAGTTCGTTTAGGCAGCCGCCTGTTTGGGAATATAGATCCTTCCTCAACCGCGCTTTCCCTCGAGAGTTTGATAGCACACTCGGCTTCCCAGGTGAGGGCCCTCTGCTACTTCTCCTCTGGATTTTTGTTGCTTCTCCCCTGTCTTCATCCTTCCTGGGCGGGCGAGGCACTCCTCCCTTTTGGATTTCAGGAGCCATTTTGGGGGGGACGCGATGCGCCATGGCAGTGACGATAGAACCCCGGAACCCGGGAGACCAGAGAAGAGCTGACTACCGAAAGAGGATTGGGCCACTCCCCACTGGCAGACCTGTGCTAAAGGTCACTGAGAAGCGAAGAGAGGTGTTGCTGTCAGCCTTCACGAGGTGGCTGGAAGGACGTGGTGTTGTGGTCGATGACCTCTTTGTCAACACCTACCAGACTATAGAGGAAATCAACACACTGCTGACAGCCTATGGGCGAGAGCTCCATCTAGCGGGCCGACCGCTGAATGATTTCTCTGAGACGATAAACTCAATTTCCAGTTGGAAGCCACAGCTGCGCCGGACCCTTCAGGGCGCCTGGGACCTGGCGTATAGCTGGGTCAAGACAGAACCGGCGGTTCACCACACCGCCATGCCGGCGCAAGTACTGATGGCATGCTTGAGCTGCTGTTTTGCCTGGGGATGGGTTCGCATGGCTGGATGTTTAGCAATGGCCTGGGGAGGACTTTTAAGGGCTGGAGAGTTGTTTCAAGCCAGAAGACTAGATCTACAACTTCCTTCAGACCTTGCAGGTAGTGTTCCCTTTGCCCTCCTCGCCATAAACGAGCCAAAGACCAGACATAGCACAGCAAGGCACCAATGCTCAAAGCTGGACATCCCAGACTTGGTGTCCACGATAGAGCTGGCTTTTAGGTCACTTCGACCGTCTGAACTTCTCTGGGATAGGAGCCCGCAAACCATGCGGAATAGACTCCGTTCGATCTTCAGAGCATTGCGATTGCCCGTGGAGACCTACAAAGGTGTACGAGCCCTAGACCTCGGCTCCTTGAGACCAGGAGGAGCCACACACCTTCTTCAGACCACGGAAAGCGGAGACCTCGTCATGAGGCGAGGTCGTTGGGCCAGCTACAGGGTTATGAGTATCTACATACAAGAAGTGGCCACAACATCTTTCCTCTCTATCCTGGAGAAGAGTGTGCGTGAACAGGTGCTTGAACTCGCTTTTTGTTTTACTACTTTCCTCGAGCAAGCCTGGGCTTTTGAGCAAGCAAAGATCCCCCGAGAAGTTTGGTACCTTCTTTTTACCGCCACGCAGCAGAAAGCAGCTTGAACAGTTCGGGCATAAACGGAAGTTTTGGGTGGCGTTGTGTCAGTTCCAGCTGAAAGATGGCGGAACTGTGTG